CATGTGGGTGTTGTTTAATTTCTGGGGTTGTAGTGAAAAACTAATTCTGGTTTACATGAACAGATAAGGCCGAGAGGTTGTTGGCTGAAGCTGCTGGATTTGGATCCCAGCTAGTTGTGTTTCCAGAAGCCTTTGTTGGTGGTTATCCCCGTGGATCAAATTTTGGTGTTTCCATTGGGAATAGAACTCCCAAGGGGAAAGAGGAATTCCGTAAATACCACGCAGCAGCGATCGATGTACCTGGTTAGTCTTTGTTTCCAATTCGACTTTGTTTAACTTAGTTTTGGTTGCATCTGTAAAGAGAACAATATTAGTGTCTTACCATGGATGATTTCAGGTTAAATGGACATTGTTAGGTTCATAATAATAATACTCATTCTTGAAGGCCGACTTCGTTCCTCTATGAGTCTCTACCAAACTTTATCATATGGTCATATATTAATATCAAAGTCTTAAATCTTAGTATGCATCTTCTGTTCTTTATGAACTTTCAATCTTTAAGTAGATAATAGCTCATATTAGGACACTACAATAAGAACTTAGTGATGTCACTCTATTCCATCTGAAATACGAATCGGTTGTTCATGAAATGTGAAATGGGACTTTAGCCCTATTTTAATGGCTCCTGTAATTTACAATTGATGAATGAGAAACGATGCTTCAAAAATCTACAGGCATTTCCCGGGTCGAGTCTTTGCGAGTTCATCCCAAACAAAGCGAACCCCTTCTTTCTGGGTCTTGGTCAGGAAGATGTAGATAAAACGCCAATAGTTTGATTCTTCTATGGCATAAGCTTTGAAGAAGAGAGTTATCCATCGTCAAAAATTTGTCTTTTTTTCTCTCTTCCGAAACGAAACAAAATCCGTCAATAAATGACGAACCCCCTTATATAGATGATAGGACAAGGCTAAGGCAGTAATCTCAACGGAGATTAGGATGAACTTTGATGAATAAAAGACGAATTGGTAGAAATTCAAACCTTCCTACTCTTGCTTACACCTAGACATAATATTTTGAAGGTCTAAAAGCTATAGCCATTGTCTGTCTTAGGTGCTGCTTAGGTAGATGTAGTTCTAATTGAGTAAATGTTAATATGTTGATAACGATACATGCAGGTCCTGAAGTCGATCGATTGGCAGCAATGGCTGGAAAGTATAGGGTGCATTTGGTAATGGGGGTAATAGAGAGAGATGGCTACACACTGTACTGTACCGTTCTATTTTTTGATCCTCAAGGTCGTTACTTGGGTAAGCACAGGAAAGTGATGCCAACTGCATTGGAGCGGATAATCTGGGGATTTGGTGATGGATCAACAATTCCTGTTTTTGAGACTTCAATTGGAAAGATAGGTGCTGCCATTTGTTGGGAAAACAGAATGCCACTCCTAAGAACAGCTATGTATGCCAAAGGTTAGTTATTCTTCGCTTGAAATAATAAAATCCCTGACCTTCCCTTTTTAAATCCAATTCCATTCATTTCGTTAGACTGTAAAGTGCTCATTAACTAAATTAGATGAAAATTTTCATCTAACAGAAGATTTTCATATGGTTAAAGTTCTACTGCTACCTTAACGTTCAAAATTTTTACTTGAAAGTTACGTAACTTCCGTCCACACGTTCCTTTTCTTTTGCTCGACCTGTCGATCACTAGAAACTGACTTATATTTGTGGTCCTGTTTGTAGGCATTGAAATATATTGTGCACCTACTGCTGATTCTCGGGATACATGGCAAGCATCTATGACCCACATTGCTTTGGAGGGTGGTTGTTTTGTTTTGTCAGCCAACCAGTTCTGCCGAAGAAAAGACTACCCACCTCCACCAGATTATGTTTTTTCTGGCACAGAAGAGGAACTCAGCCCAGATTCTGTTGTTTGTGCTGGGGGTAGTGTCATCATATCGCCATCAGGTACAATCCTAGCTGGACCCAATTACGATGGAGAGGCACTTATTTCAGCAGATCTAGGTATGTCATCACGTCCTTCTACTTATAGTCATTAGAGCTTTAGTTATGTACTACGTTTAGTGGTTTATATGGAAAAATTGTTTAATCTTTAGGAAACCTACTATTTGATTTAAGCCACTTTTTGGGGATTCTTTCTCCTAGATGATCTAATACTCCTGTCGATCGAGTAGTATGAAAACCATCATTCTAAGCTCTTATTCTATGCTTATCTCTTTTTTAGTTACAATACGAGTGAATATGTAACAGTTCAAACTCACCGCTAGCAAATATTGTCGTCTTTGGCCTTTTCCTTTTGTGTTTTTTTTTTGTGTTTTTTTTTAAACCCTGCTGGTAGGGAGAGATTGTTGGGAGTAAACTTAAATGAAAAAAAAAAAAAAAGGTAGTTTTTTAATTTCTTTATTTTTAGTAAGGCTTTTGAAATTTGGAGAAGGAAAAGGCCCACAATCATTTTAGGAGAGAGCAAGAGTTACAGTGTTAATTACAGTGTAATAGAAAAGGGTTTTGAGAATTTCTTTGTCTCCTTGTCTCTCCCCTCTCGACACCTTCTCAAAGTTTCGTGAGAGTTATCTAAACGAGTTAGTTTCAGAGCGAGCGTCTATTTTCTACAAGTTAGTATCGGAGCGGCTTTTAATTTCAAAAGAGATTTCCACACTCTTGAATATTTTGTTTCTCTCCCCAATCGATGTGGGATCTCACAATTCACTCTCCTTTGGGGCCAGGGTCCTTGCTGGCCCCGTTCCCTTCTCCAATCGATGTGGGACCTTTGTTCCTCTTTCCAACCGACGTGAGATCTCACATAATGGCTTGTCTTCCCTGGTACAAATTGATTTTCCAACCAAGTGGGTAAGTTATGATGAACCAACCAACCATTTAAGATAGGGATGGCCTATATGTCTCTTGCTAACTAACAAGTTCCTTGGAGAATGGGGAGATAATCCGAGGTAGTTTTGTTGAACCATCCATGCCTTGGGCTGTGAAACTTTTCCATCTTTGTGTGAGCAAAGGTTGAACTTGAGATTCCTAAGGTAAGCCTCTTAATTAGATTGAAGGGTTTTCCTTCACTTACTAAGGTTGGGATTCCTAAGGTAAGTCCAGCTGATGATTTTAGGATTAGCCAATAATCCCACTATTTACCAAAGATTCTACAATGTGCTATTCTATAAAGGGGAGCTACCCATTTAAACAAGCAACCATAATGTGTGCTGTCCCACAATGGTACGTTAGTGAAAGACTGAGTTATTGAATGGTTGATGAGAAGATTGAATTATGAAGAGCAAGAATGCTCTATATATATACAAGAGAATACAAAAAGATATTTAGAAAATCTACCTAAAAATCTGGAGAAAATCTGGTAACAAACCAGTAAACAAATCTAATCTAATCAAATCAAAAGTAAATCTAACTCTTAACGGAGATTTAATTAGATACTAACTGACAGCAATCTAAACAAATATGTGATCTTTAGCATGGTACAATATGATATATTATTGATCCATCCCAACTCTTAACAAGTTAAACTTTTTTATTTTTGATTGTGCTATGAATTGCTTTTATATATAATTTGGATGCATAACTGAAACAGATCTTGGAGATATAGCGCGGGCGAAATTTGATTTCGACGTGGTTGGTCATTATGCAAGGCCTGAAGTGCTTAGCTTGGTTGTGAGGGACCATCCTACAACCCCAGTTACTTTCACATCTGCAACTGCAAAAACCGAAGATTCTTGTAAAAACTAGTAAGTTTATTGTCGAAGCTTCAATTTAGTTCTATTAATTGTTGTAATCTACATGTGTTGTCTATGTTTTACTGCTTCCTCATGCGTTCAGTGTTGTATTATATTCATCCTAATCATTCAGAACTGTGAATATTTCTGAATTTATATCAGCGGTGGATTTTAATATCATTTTTTCCTTCATTTCTAGCCTAGTTTGATTCATGATACTGTATTTACGTGGATCAAGATATTGGTATATTGATGTTAGTGTCTAGAGAGATGAATAGAAACTTGGCGGACGATTATTATGATGGGAAAGGGCAAAGATCATCTGAATCACCCAAACTAACTAATATGGATTGGTCTAGTGGTCGAAAATGTTCTTGCTTAGAGAAAACCTACCTACAACTTAATATCCTACCGGTTACGTAGGCAACTAAATGTAGTAGGGATAGAGTTGTATTATGAGACTAGTTGAGATGCGTACAAGCTGAGTTGGACACTCGTAGATGTCTAAAGCAAAATAATAATATTGCCTTGATTTAGTTCAATCATTCTCAACTATGAAACCAAAACTGGTTCGACTCATAATCAAATTGACGTGGGTTGGTCTCAAAATAATAGCTTTACTTATGCTCTGAGTTGGGTTCGGGAATTATTTATGTGAGATTATTGTGTAAAATGTACTAGTAAGGAGTGAAGTTATTGTTTACTTCGCGATTGTCTTACTTCTTTTGCTTATTTACACTTTTAGTGTAGTTTATTTAATTGCTCGATGTTTTGAACTTTAATAATTGAAAATGCATGGGTTGATTATAGCATTTTATAATAGGAAGAACATAGAAGTTTGTTTTAATATAATCGTAAAAGATTTAACTTAATCATAATGAGAGTGGTAGACAATAATAATTTTAAAATATAACTAACTAACTAGTTCCCGTTCACGATGATAGCAAAACTTGAGTATTGTGTTACATTGTCTTTTTTATTACACTTCCATGCCCAACTTACACAAAGTTTGGTTGACATGTTCAATATTATTAATATCAAATTTTATTTATTTATTTGTAATATCATATTTTTCGAGTGTACGTACACAACAAATTAGACATAATTTGACTATCATCCAACCTAGTCTTTTTAATTATAATAATTATTATACTTTATACTCCTGAAATAGTCAATTAAATCTCAACACCATTAGAGTTGCCGTCACATTTTTAAATTTTGAAAAGATAACGATTCAAAAGTTTGACATTTAAAACTTAATAAACTTTAGTATAGCCGAGTCAATATGATCCAATTTCGAGGTTGGAATGATAAAAGGCGAAGAAAATGATAATTATTCAAACACTAAACACTAGTTGATAACTTAATAAAGTAATAAACATGAAGAATAAAAACTGAAATTACATTTCCTATAATAACAATTATTACATTTTTCACTTTTGAAAATAGTCTTCGGTCCTCCCCTTGAACCCTATTTGTCCAAATGTCAGCGTAATGAACAGACCCAAGTGCCACGTAATCAGCCACAGCCTGAGTTTCACAATATTTTTGTTCTAAATATATATCATTTTTATTAATAATCATTTCAAGTTAAAAATACTCGAAAAACTCGAACAATCTAATTTAATCTATACTATTTACGTTGACTCATAAAATTATTTAGGTTAGATTTGATTCAGGAATTCTCTTTAAACTAGATTAAATTTAAGTGAATAAACTCAAAATTATTGTTAATTTTAAAAATAAAATAAAATAAAATTGATCTAAATAATTATATATATAATTTAATTTTATAATTTTTGCTTATTTATTATCAATAGAGCTATTTTTAATAAATAACCAAAACTCAAACAAAACCTAAAAAGAATTATGATAAATTGAGTTATTATTTAATAAAAAATTATTTTAGTTGAAATAAAACAATTAAGTTAGTCTAAAATTGGTTTGGACAAATACCCTAATTTTTAGTTTTAAATTATTTAAAATAATATTTTAAACTATTAATTTTAAAATTGTGCGAAAAAGAAATTGGCGGTAAATTATATATGTTACCAGAACTGAGAAGTGAGGGCCGGTGGAGACGGGAAATGCGCAAGCTCTGTTCCAATGCTCTCAAAGAAGAGCCCCGTCAAGCTCTTCCCGTCGATCACCGGGATACTCGACGGTGCAATCCATCCGATGAGTCCAAATCCGATCACATTCAGATCTCTCCTCAGCCAATCTCTCTGAAAGCTTTCAAACCACGAAACCGTACAACAAAATCGTCATTCTCCAAATCGAATCCCAAACCGATCAACTCATATACTATCTCTCACTCTAATCTTACTTACCAGGTGATCCTTCCGCCGAATGAACGCGGCACGCCGAACGGATTCCTCGCGACCACGGGAGGCTTGACGAACTCTGCGAAGACGAGAAAAAACGCCAAACTCAATTAAAGAGGAGAGGAAGGGGAAAATAGTTGCAAGTGGAAGCCGGTTACCGGAGACGAGACGGGGAGATCTGGAGGAAGGAGAGGAGAGGGAGGAGCTTCCGAGGCCGACGACGGAGGAGGAGGTAGCGAAGGCGGACGCCATTTTTGGGAGGGATTGTGCGGATTAGGGTTTGGGATTGGTATGTAGTGGAAGTGAGGGAGGGGTTTTGTTGGGGAGGAGATTTGGGGAAGCGCTGTTGATTCGATTGCTGTGGATATTTGGATGTATTTTTGATGAATCACGCTTTGACACGTCGGATTTATTTGGATAAAGTGGGCCCCTTTTCCTCTCTTCATTTACAATATCAAACATTTGTGGTGTGGTGGTGGGAGCTTAGATTTTTCATTTCAATTATATTTTATTTATATTTCTCTAATAATTAAATATATATCAAAATTAGTACATGAAACTCTATCCAAATATATATATATATACATCAACTACTTGATACCTTGCTATTACGAGTCGTGCCGTAACAAACCATACCGTGTAGGGTGGATACGTTGTTAGGTGCTCCGTTTTATTTTCCCATTGAGGTCGAACTTAAATCTGTGCTCGAGAGATAGTTGTCCATATACTGATAAGGGATGTATGGATTTTCGAGAAGAGAGCAGCCGAGGTGGTCCCCCCGGACCGCCCAGATCCCACGAGTGAATAGAAAGTTGGATCTACATTAGATCTTACCTGAGTCGACCCATCTATCCTCCTGAGGAGAAGTTTGATTTAAACCCCAATTCAAATAGGATATACATACATACACACATATATATATAGACATACATACGTACGTACATGTGGAAAATTATGTTGTAATATTTAGTAATGTTTAAATTTTTAGAAATGATTTATTTTATGATATATTATTGAATTTATTAGAATGTGGACAATTAAAAAATATAATATGATATATTTAGTAACATTATATTGGAATATGGAAATTATCAATTAAAAAATAATTTGAAATGCAGTTTTTTAAAAATATAATATGAGAAAATTGGCGTTAATTTCTACCCATTGTACAATGATGTTAGGGTATATTAGGGATCGACTTGTTATTTCATTAACATATAACTAGGAATATCGATGATTAAGTAAGTCATGTATATGAGTAACCCGTTGCATCGTCTTTTTTAAGGTTGTGGAAGATAAAATTAGTTTTAATATAAAGTAGGTAAATTATATAAGCGAATTATCGGTATATATCATAATAGATATATCAATGATATACTTAATATAAAATATATTTGTAAAGACCCTATTTTTCTACTGAAATAAAGGCGTTACCATATACACGATGTGCTTTTATTTTATACAAAAACATTTTTTTTAAATAGTTTATAAATGATGTCATAAACTTATTGTTAAAAATAAAATAGTTAAATCAAACTAAACACCATTTAATAAATGAAAAATAAACAAATTAAGAAAATTAGAAAATAAATAATGTCCTATACTAACCAAAGACTAATAAGCAAAATAAAAAAATAGCTACACTAATACCGGTTTTATGATCTCTAACGTGACATCGTTGTCATCCATATAGGAGCGTTTTGTCTTTACCTTAAATTTAAGAGTAGCACATGGTTTGAGAATTTTAATAAATACTAAGTGATCCCACGTCATGAAATGCAAACACAAGTAACATGAGGACCTATTCTTTTATCGTAACATATCATGGGTTTAGGTAGTGTTCGCATTCGGGCAATGTTAAATGCATAATACTTCTCTATACATGACACAGTCGTGCGAATATAGGTCCACCAGGCAGGCTTGCACACTCCATGGGCCTAACTTGTCGTACCAAACACTTACTGACTCTTTGTTGAACACTAAGGAAGGGTATCCTATACAATGAGTTTGTACAAGACTAAATCCCAAAATCCTTAATGTCTCCTTATAAATCTGTTAATTGAGAAAATTGATATTTCATGAAATGATCATATGTAACTCGATATTAATCTTGAATGAGATATGAGCTCGACCCTAGGAGTCGATGAACCATGGAACTTCAGCCCACCCTTTTGTGGACTAGAATTGAATTAGTTTATGATAGATTCATAAACAAATGGCTCGTCAAAGAATCAGCACCTTTTCACTCGTATTCACTAATATTCCTGGCAGAAAAAACTTCAAGAAGCATTTAAACCTATTTTCCATACCTCAAAAAGCATTTAAACCTATTTTCCATACCTCAAGAAGTAAAATATCACTTCCAAGGGCAATATGATCATGAACTAAAAAGTACAACTAATTTAAAATTGTTCTCCCTACCGAAACTGATCGAACCTGAAACTTCGATTGCATCGAGTCTTGCTCCGTTGCCCCAAACTAAGCCAACATGCTACAACGTGATTTGGTTAGTCACAGTTTAAATTAAACTAGACAGATTGAGGTATCATGACAATTCTTCACCATTCCATGTTTGTGAAAGTCTCCCAACATCAGTAGACGATGCCCAACGGCAGCTGCTTATGCTTCATAGCTCATAGCCAGATTAAACACTGAAATGAGTTCATATTCTAAACATCTGTTCAATCTAGGAACTCCCAGGAGATCAAAACTTGCCCAAGAAACTGAATGGATTTGTCTCGCAGTTACTCATCAGCCCATGCTGATGGTCCACCCATTCCGATTTCAGCTACTGGGGATATTTGTAACCTTGTAGTTCTGTCTTGCTTTTTAGATTCCTTTCTATTAGCTGCAAATGATACCGAGTTAGCCTTTAAATTCATGTCCTCTACTGCTTTCTCATTAACCTTTCTAAGACCAGCATCCATGTCTTCAACACCGTCACCTCCGAAAAGCTGTTCGAATGGCACTTCAGTGTCGTCAACAACGTCAACCTGCTTTTCCCCTTCCTTCTTTGCTTTCTTCTTATGCTTTTCGATCTTGGGTGAAGATGGCTCCTTGTTGCTTTTTGACTTTTTCTGCTTTGAAGTCTTCTTATCCTCAGCAATATCATTTGTACCGTGATTTCTCTTATTGTCGAGAGATGGAGCTTCTTTCTCCTCCTTGTCCATCTTGCGTTTTTTGTGCTCCGATTTCGATTTCTTTTCCATATCATCATCATGAGCATGATCAACTTCGCCATCACTGCCTTGATCCAACAGCATTTTGGCATTCCTTTTCGGTTTTCCATCCTTTTTCTCTTTTTGAAGCTCTAGCTTCTTTATTGAACTGTCATCGTCTTTATCACTCCCGGTATCCTTCTCATTCTTTACGTATTTATCTATTGGTCTAGCATTCAATACACGCAGGCCTGGAAGCAGTCGACGAATCTGTAGTTTCACTTGTCAGAAACATATTTTTGGATGAACGGATTTATTTAAAATGGGTAGTCAAAGTAAGCATAGCTCAACAGTAACCGCATATATTCCTTCCATTGAGGTTGGAGGTTCAAATTCTCATACCCCACTTGTAATTAAAAAAAAGTAGATGTAGAAGATTCGTAGAGAGAATGGGAACGGACCTTTTTATCTAACTTAGCACTTTCAGCAATAGGATTCCCTTGAAGATTAAGATTTCTCAGATTTCCTAATGAACTCAATACCTAGAAGAATGGTACAAACAGTGATGCATGAAAAACAGGAGGTTAAAATGGAGAAAATATTGAAAATTTAAAATATTAAGGAAAAGGTTAGATAGGATTTATCTTACCTTCACATCTGACCATCTAATTATGATATTATTTCCCAAATCCAAATTCAACAATTTCTTGTTATGAGCCAAATCACTGGGGAGCATCTGGATAGGGGAAGTACACTCGAGAATGAGTAAATCGAAGCTAAAACAAGTTCTCAATAGATCTGCATAAGATAAAACAAACTAATCCAAACAGCACATACCTTAATTTCATTGTGAGCAAGTCGAAGCTCTTTTAATTCGACACAAGACTTGAAGGAAGAATCAATAGATTGAAGTTTGCAATTAGAAAAAGATAGCTGAAACAAGGATAAATATATCACTTATAAGATTCTTGGACGTATTCAAGTATGAGTAATCATCAAACAACATCGAACAGAAGAACAGATTGTTTCTTACTTTTTTCATTGATTTCACTTTGAATAGAGAATCGCCAATAATATGGATTGGATTTCTGGAAAGAACTGTATAATAACTCGAACGGTTAGATAACTTAGTTTATGTTTCTAATGAGCATAACTCTTGAACATGTAAGACAGATTCGAGAATAAGAAAAGGCTATTCTCAGAACATGTTATTTAATAAAAGAAAAATAAAGCTTGGTAAGAATCTTGAATATGCGAACTACCAGAAAAGCATTAAAAGTGGACATGAAAATGAGAAACCATACCCAGAGTATTCAGGTTCTTCATCTGATCAAGCTTGCAAATAGAAGATATCTCATTGTCTGTAAAGCCCGAAAATGAAATAATCTGATTGATAATGATCATAATCAACATATAAACCTGATGAAGAAGTTTTTTATGTCACGCAAAATGCTTACCATTCAAAATCAAAGCACATAAGCCAACAAGGGGTCTGATTTCGTCCATTGATTGAAGCTTATTCTTTCCCGCATTTAATACCTGATTAGGACACTCAAAATCAAATCCGTTGCATCTACATCCATATATTTACCATATAAGAAAATGTAACAACCCAACCCCACCGTTAGCAGATATTGTTGTCTTTGGGCTTTCCCTTTTGGGCTTTCCCTTTTGGGTTTCCCCTCTAGGTTTTCAAAACGCGTCTATTTGGGAGAGGTTTCCACACCCATATAAAAGATGTTTCATTCTCCTCCCCAACTGATGTGGGATCTCACAATCCACCCCTTTCAAGGCCTAACATCCTCCCTAGCACTTGTTCCTCTCTCCAATCGATGTGAGACCTCACAATCCACCCCCTTCAGGGCCCAGCGTCCTCATTGGCACACTGCTTGGTGTCCACCCGCCTTCGGGGCTCAACGTCCTTGTTGGCACACCACCTAGTGACGGGCTTTGATACCATTGTAACAACTCAAGCCCACCGCTAGCAGATATTGTCCTCTTTGAGTTTCCCCTCAAGATTTTTAAAACACGTCTACTAGGGAGAGGTTTCCACACCCTTATAAAGAATGCTTCGTTCTCCTCCCCAACCGATGTAGGATCTCACAATCCACGCCCCTTCAAGGCCCAACTGGCACTCGTTTCTCTCTCCAATCGATGTGGATAAAGAATGCTTCGTTCTCCTCCCCAACCGACGTGGGATCTCACAATCCACGCTCCTTCAAGGCCCAACTGGCACTCGTTTCTCTCTCCAATCGATGTGGGAGCTCATAAAAAAATGTTAACGTATTCCAAGTAGCATTCATACAGAAATTTGTGCATATCAAAAATCCATCGATAACCATGATTGAACAATTGAAAAAATACTTATATTAGATAAACATACGGTTTCGAACAAGATACATATATTGCATAAACATTAAGATTCATCTCAAAACCAATTGACAATGAAAAGAGTAACTATATATCTTATGACGTCTCTTTATCTTTCTCATGTGGAACTCTCATCGCAAAATTCTTAATAGAGTATAGAAAGAATAGAATCCAGAAAAAAAAAAAAAGAAAAAAAAAGAAAAGAAACTACACCCACATAAACTAAATGTACTCTCACATAGTGTTTAAATAGACGGTGAATAATTCTACAGATGGACAAAGGCGATTTTCTATACTCCAGAGAAGAGGTCATTTCATATCTCAATGATCGAAGAACACTATTTACATTATGCTTATGGTCCATTGGCAATAATATAAGATGAAGGATAAGTGGTTCTTACAGTAAGTTTAGAAAGCCCCTCAATTCCCTTTAAGCTTTCAAGTTTGTTTTGTACAACTGAGAGCCACTTCAAATTGGTGCATGACTTCAACCCCTTCAATTAAACATCCAGAATCGACAAAAGCCCAATAACACATTAACACATTAGTTATGAGACACAGAAAAACGCGCACATACCTCAAGCGATGTGAGCTTGTTGAATGTCAAATCGAGCTTCTCCAAGTTTTTGAAAACGGACAAATCATTAACCTGCAAAACAACACGATTGCCGAAGAACTCAATGAAATGGAAAAACAGAGAAAACAACAGAGATAAACAAAGGGAGGATCGTACATCAGAAAGAGCCTTGTGATTGAGCTTGAGAGTACCGATTGCGAGCGGGTCTTGGGTGCTGTTATCATTGAGAACTTGCTCTGAATCCAAGCGAGTCATTGTAGCGAAAATCCAAGTTGCTCTGCTCGGAACGGACGCTGCCTTCCGAAGACGCCTTCAAATTCTGTCGTCGGCTGGATTGATTTTGTTGAAACTTGGTGTCTCATGCATCCCTACCCTAAAATATTGAATGGCATATTTTCTGTAATTATTTATTTTGGAAAATAAATTACTTTATATTCTTTTAATCAATTAAATACAAATTATGTTCGTCGATTAACGATACCGAAAAAATGATCGATGTGTACATTGCAAACTCGTACGTTATCGAGGAAAAATCCTTATTAAATAACTAGAAAATGTGAAAGATAAAATAAAAACATGTTGTAGACATATAATCACGATAATAATGAGAAATCAATGGACCTATAAATGGGTGAATGACCTGAAAACATTTTGAAAAAGTTGAGTATTGAAAATACTCAGCGACTGACCTCCTTACACGAGCTAGATATGCATATAATCACGATAAATAACGAGAATTCAGTAGACATATAAATCACCTAGAATTTATCAATTTTCATGGCGTAAATGAGCAATTGTTGCAAGTAAATTCTGTGAGATCCTACATCGATTAGAGAGAGGAACGGGTGTCAGCGAGGACGCTGGTCCTGAAGGGAGTGGATTGTGAGATCCCACGTCAGTTGGAGAGGGGATGAAATATTCTTTATAAGGGTGTAAAAACCTCTTCCTAATAGATGCGTTTTAAAAACATTGAGAGGAAACTCGAGAGGGAAAGCTCAAAGAGGACATTATCTACTACCAGTGAACTGTGGGCTTGAGCACACAGATATGCGATTGCCGTAAGGTCATATCATGAAAAGGTGATATAATTCTTATACATTGATAGACAATTTACCCAAGACTCTAACTCTAACATAATATCCAAAGTAATTTTTCATGCACAGATATAAGTAATTGTCTCACATCGGGTGTAATTCCCATATACACAGATAGACAATTACCTATATGTATTCTTCTTAAATCATATGCATATTGGTTCTACAAAGTTTCATAAGGATCCATTCCAAGTAACATCGAGAAAAATTACACACCAATTTACAAACAATTACGTGCGTACACATTGAATAGTTGAAAAGTGCTTAAAGTGGGTTTAGTTAATTGAAGAGTGCTTTACCTCGAATCCAAGAACTAAGGGGGAACCATTTCGATGCACCTTAATATCATGTTGACACGTTATGTCGTTGATGAATGAGACATGCTAAGAAAATATGGTACCATATCATACATTACCTCATGTAAACGACATGAAATAATTATGCTATGTATGAAAGGAATGAAGTTATGTATTTCATCATAGATACATGTCACGATTTTAAACTAGGGGATCTTATGCATATTGTATGTTCACATACATCGGATACTTTCCCATTATGATTAGTAAGGACACGTGGCTTACGATATGTATGTTCACCATGATATTATAATACGATATTGTATACACCACAATACTATGTGTGCTCCCTTCCCTCTGTGGTATGATGGTAGCATGAGTGTAAGCTAGTTGAATGTTAGATTCAAGGAGTACGTATACGAGCTCACCAAGGGGTCCATGTGCGAGTATGTAGGCTGTGTGTAGAGAAGTACTATACAGCCAATTTTGCCCGTACTGGAAGTTGAGACCAAGGCTATGAAATGATGTTTTATAAAATGATAGGTCCCAAACATAACTGTATGAGATTGCATTTTCTAACCCTAGTAATGGAGTTACAAAACTTAAGTCACGTGCTATTCTTACTTTTCAAGTAAAGGCAATGCACCTCCACAGATGACGACGTCACGACGATGGCCATGGGATTGAAGCTAGGGTAGATGTGTTTTCATGTTGATTGCACCTACACAACTGCATTGCATACAAGGGTTGGTTCATTGTCCAACCAGTTTGACTATACGAGCTTCAATCCAATCAACCAATAAATTAAATTTAAGTAACCTATTCGGACCTCTTTAAAGAGATATGCCCTCACAAAGTTCATTTATTTATTTAATTTTTAAGAATGTGATGAACAAATACTGAGTAACACATCGAATCAATCTAGAATTTTAGAAAGTCGAATCTTAGATACATGTTTGGGTTACGAGGGGCGAATAGGATTTAGCACCGACTTGAACACGAACTTGAAGGTTGTCGCAGAGAGATGGGCAAGAAACTCCGAGTTAAACGTAAGAAGGCTCGAATCCACAAGGTTGGTGGCTGCATTCGCAAGACATCTGAACTTAGCTTCCATACTTGATCTTGATATAATTTGTTGTTTCATTGAGCTCCATCTTACCCTATTCCTGCAAAAAATTAAACCATTTCCATCACTTGGATCAGAATGCCCTTGAAAATCACTGAGTCCCTTGTAAACAGCAAAGAATACGCTTCACAACCCTCCAATGCAAAACAGTAGGAGAATCAACAAATTGGCATACCTTGTTGACACAATATGCAAGTTCACCACACGTTATGGGTGCATGCTCGAGTTAATGAGTGCATGCGCAGTTACTATTATCTCAATCCAGATCATTTGAAAATTGTTCACAATGAGTCACGTTCTTCTTGAATGTTCTACGTATATGTGCGATCCATCACGACAAAACAAAATCAATTTCGAGCTAATGAGAAAGAATACAAATACACAACAAATAATTATAGCCTACCTATTACTCCGACTCCGTTTGATAATCATTTAGTCCCAAAAACTAAAAAGATTATAAACACTACTTTCACATCCGTATTTCTTTGTTTGTTATATACTTTTTAGGAATATTCTCAAAGTAATTTAACCTTTTCCGTACGAAATATCAAAATCATTGTACAAAAATCGTGAAAAAATGAAAGCAACTTTCAAAAATAAAAAAGAAAAATGGAGAAGAATACGAACAACTACAAGTTCGACGACGTATGATATTCATTAACTGTACATATCTAGAGCATAGATACAACAAAACCTGTAAATATGTACCTCTGCTCCAATAGTCATTGGCCTAGGAGTTGCAAAGATGCTGGTTTTCTCTTTGGAATGTTATTGAACACATAAGCAATAGCCATCAAGGAGTAGCAATGAATGTACACATGTACTCCCTGCTTCAGATCTATGCATGGTTAGCAAAAACAGAAATATCAAAATATATCAAACAACATGACCAAAATCACTGTTTGTTCGGCAGACAATTAAATTGCACCAACTATACAATAGAACCAATTGGAATTTGAAGCAAAGAAACTGAAAATGAACAAAACCAACCTATCCTTCTTACAGAATAAAAGGCCAGAATAACAGGTAAGACACCTAAGATTAGTGCGAGAAACGGGAAGCATTTGAAACATAAACACTATAAAATGGAAAACAAATACCTTTCACTCTCTAATGTCCCTGCATCTTTAATCGATTCGTTTAGAGTCACGTAAACTCAAGACATGATAAAGCCAGCAAGTTGAATCAAATCACTGGATGCACACCCTCACGTCATCCCTTTCACAGTCACTGGTGGAGATGAGTTCAGTAATGTGCTAAGATTCTACCTATCCTTTTTTAAATCAAAGCATCAGAATTCAAGTTTATGACTACCAGTAATCTCCACAAGAGCAACTCCCATTCTCCAAGTGATGAAATCGGTGCCCATCGCGCACAACAAGTTTTCTCATGGAAACAAGAGAAATCAATTTCATCACCTGGTGACAATCGTTGCAAACTCGAAGGTTCTTCATCACATGGATTGGCATCCAATCAGGCAAGCTAATCAAACCAAAGGCAATAGCAAGCTTCTCACTATGATAGCCAATCGAACTTGACGCATCGACATAACCATAATCATCTTTGATCTTCTTAACAATGTCTTCCAATGCCTTATAAATATCCTTGATTTGTGGATGGTTTGTGTCATTGACAGTGAAGACATGGACCCTATTGCTCACCTCTATCCAGCTGCAACCAGGATCTTTCTGTACTCCTTTCTCTCTCATCAACTGTCTCACATCAGAAACACATTCCAACTTTCCAGAGCTGGAGTAGACATTTGCTAGCAGAATGTAACTTTCAGAGTGTTCAGCGTTCAATTCTAGCAAGTTCTTCATTGCCACCTCTGCCATTTCAGTGTCATGGTGGATCCTACAAGCGCTGAGTAGAGTGCCCCATATGGTGACATTTGGCTTAAATGGCATTTGATCAATCAGATCCATGGCCGACTTTAGTAACCCAGCTCGACCAAATAAATCTACCATACACGCAAAGTGCTCGGGAGTTGCAGAGATGCCAAAATCTTTAGTCATGGAGTTAAAGTAATGTTTTGCTTCTTTTACAAGGCCTGAATGGCTGCAACCTGAGAGAATTGCTACATAGGTGATATGATCAGGTTTGCAACCAACCATCAACATGTTCTGAAACAGTTCAATCACCTTCCTGCCTTGACCATTTTGAGCATATCCTCCCATTATTGAGTTCCAAGAAATCAAGTTCTTCTCTTGTATTGAGTCAAAAACTTTATGCGCATCTTCAATTTTACCACATCTAGAATACAAGGTAATTGCACTGTTAGCAACTGAAACATCAGAACCAAGCCCTACTCTTACTGCTTGGGATACTATTTGTGTTCCAAGTTTTGAAATTGCTAACTCCGAACAAGAACTAATCGTGGTAACAAAGGTGACCCAATCGGGCCTAACTTCTTGTCTTAGCATACAAATGTATAATTTTAAACCTTCTTCCCAATAACCGTTCTGGAAATATGCACTTAACATTGAATTCCAACTTATGACATTACGCTCTGGCATTCGGTCAAAATAATCCTGTGCTCTTTCTACATTGCCATTGCGAGTGAATGAAGTGATCATTGTTGTCCATGAAATAACATCTCTAGCAGCCATTGTTTCAAAAGCAAGATTTGCCTTCTCAACATCTCCACATTTTGCATACATTGTCAAAGTAGCATTGCCTACAGGCAAAGATGAATCCATCCCAGTCTTCACCGCAAATCCATGTAATTGCTCCCCAATTGAAATATTTTCTTCTCCTTCACATACACCAAGAATAGTTGCAAGAATAAAGCCATCCATAATAACACGATCTTCTCTCATTCGACAAAAAATATCATAAACTTCTTCTTGACTTCCAAACTGTGCAATTCCACTTATTAGTGAAGTCCAGGTTACTACATTGCGTTCGGTTAGTGAGTTAAATACCCTTTTTGAAGCTTCGATGAGTCCACATTTTGCATACATATCTACCAACCCATTGCCCACCAAAACATCTAAAAAGGGTTCAATGCGGACAATTCGAGCATGCAAATGTTTACCCCATTGAAAATCATAGATATTGGCACATGCACTAAGAACGCTTGCATATGTCATTGAATTTGGTTGACAATCATGAATCCACATCTCAACAAACGTACTAAGGCTCCGTGTGTGCAGGCCATGTTGAGAAAATGCTGAAATGATTGTGTTCCAAGAGACGGAATCGTGTTCAGGCATTTTCATGAAAGTGTCAAGTGCTCGTCCCATCTCGTGTAATTTAGAGTAACCATAGATCATACTATTCCAACTAAATAAGCTTGGCTTTTCAATCCTTAGAAAGACCTGCTCAGCAGCATAAATAGCACCACACTTTACATACATATCAATGACAGAATTTTGGATGGCTTCGTTGTTTCCAATGCCATATTTCACTGAGAGACCGTGCAACTGAAGAGCTATCCGTAAATAACCAACACTACTACAAGCCTTCATTGCACAAGAGAAAGAAAACAAGTCAGGAACACAATCTGAATCCCGAAACATTGAAACAAAAAGCTTAATAGTATCCACCGCTTGACCGTTACGGAAGTAGCCCGACATCATTGCAGTCCAAGAAACAGCATCTCTAAGGGGCATTTCACCAAACATCTTTTCTGCTTCCCTTACTCGACCAGAATCCAACAACCCATTAAGAATCGTGTTCCAAGTAATGACATTGCGATGCTCGCTATCAAAGAAAATCCGAAGAGCCTCACTTATTAATCCACATTTTGAGTACATATGTAAGAGATGGTTTTGGAGGAAAACAGAGGAACACAAACCAGTGGAGATGAGTTGGCCATGAAGCTTTGATGCAATGGATATTGATCCAAGAAAAGTACAAGCTTTCATGGCCTCAAAGAATTTTTGGGAGAGTTCCATGTAAGAAAGCTGAGCAAAGGGGTCATGACCGAGATTGAACCTTCCATAGAGGAATTGTTCCTGAGTTGAAAAACGGCGAACCTGAGGAGGGAGGCCATGGAAGAGCCTGAGGAAGAACCTGGAAATAATCGAAGTGAGAAAGCCAAACTAATAGAACTGTATACTTGCATCTTCAAAATTATAAATGCTCCATGAATAACTTCCATTACACTAGTTCAGAGTTTCAAAGAAATTCATCAACTTAATGAACAAGTCTGGAAATTACCATAAGCTCTATCAAACATGTGAGAAATTCAAAAATTACAACCTATATGTATTCACCATATTAGAAGTAGTTTCAAAATGATAAACTCCATCGACCAATATGAAACTATAAATGTATTCCACCAATAATCATGCTTATACACAACTTGTACTTAGCAACAACTGGTAATCATATAACAGAAATATAAAAGCCAAAAAGATTAAAGATTATAGCTTCCATAACTACAGAATAGCCTAGCCAAATAGCATGTGATATATTTCCTAAAAAGTAAAATAAAAGTATAGCAATCACAAACTCTATGGTAGAGCCGTAAGGAGGAGGGAGTGAGAGAAATAGACCTTGTTTTGGGGAGACATGTATACAATGCAACCTTTGTGCAACAAAACATTTGTGTCTGATATTAAACTTCCTACGCCAAACCTGCAAAACAGAAAAGACACGTATCACTAATACATGATATCACCTTATCCACATGGAACAAGTCCCATCCAACAAGAGATTTATTTAAATACATGAACTCGCCTATAACATATATACACAAATGATGTTTATTAACTCAAAAATACCAATGAACTGCAAGAGAGCGGATGGTGAAAAACACTATCGGCACTCACAATTGACAACAAACTCCAAACTCAAATATGTCAATAAACTCCAATACTTCATATCACAATCTCCTTACAAACTTACATATTCCTGAACCTTCTTATGACGATTTCTTCCCTTCAAGATAAACCCTCGAGTAGTTTTTTTTTTTCTTCTTTTACTCTTCTAACAGGTCCCTCCCCAAGGTAAAGTGGAAAGAAAAAAAAACCTCAACTAAAATACATGAAAGTGGTTAGCTTAGGATTAAAATAATGCAGCAGAATTGAAATAACAAGACTCTTGAACCCATCATCCCAAAAACCAAAAATAGAAGTGCATTCCAAGAAAATAACATTTAGATGAATCTAAACTTTTTATTGCCTTGAATATTTAACTAGTATAACATCCCTAATTCGATTTACTAAAGCACCAAGAATTCGAACTATTGCTAGGAATTGAAAAAAACAATACTGCACAACCACTTTCTATATGGTTGTTTGGCAAAGTTCCAAATGTTAATAATGTGAGAAATTAATAACAGTTGAAATAATAAAAAAAAACAAAATCAGTAGCTCATAATCTCAAGTACTAGGACAAAGCCGACACTGCACTAACCAATGAGATACGTGATGTTCTTATGAGGCAAAAACAAATACTACAATATTAGCTATACAAATGATAATATCAAGGCTTTGTCAAGTAACCAATTCATAGAACTCATTGCATACTAGGTCCACCCCTACTAAGAGATGTAGGCCCCCTTCTCATTCATTAATGTTAAATACTTCTGAGAAAATATTTTGCTGGTTTTTGTGTGATTCCATATCAGAAGACGTAAATTTTGTTTACCTCCCATTGCAAGTTTGCTTCGCAAATTTTCTTGCACTGAACCTCTTCATCTGGGATTAGAGGTCTTATTTGTTCCCTACACTTGCTGGTCATTTAGTTGTAATCTTATCTATATATTTAATTTCAAATGGCAAATGATACATTTCCTCTCTTTCTATTCCTGAACTTCAAAAAAAGTGTACGCCCAGATTCTACAAAGTACCGAACTAATCAAGCAAAAAGGTAAACTGTTCAAAAAAACTATCAGGGATACTATAATTTGAACTCCATGCTTCGACAAAGAATTCATCTAGACAGACCTCATAATGCTTACGGTATGGAGGATTTAAAATCAAGCATGAGACTTACTTCAAAAAATGTGAGCGGATCGGGCCGCCCACCCTCTCTTCTTGCTTCTCCCTCCCGCCGCCCCTCCCCTGTTCAGCTTCAACTCCGGCGACCTCTTCCGGCGGACGACGAGCTGCAGTCCATGTGCGACAGTCCGTCCAGTTGACGAAGATCCACGGCGTGCTGCTTCTGTATGCAGCGGCCAGTCTCCTTCTCCGACAACGAGCAGACGGCGATACACAGCTTCCTGCGGCGGTTTTCACGACCGGCGACTCAAAGCAACAATACCGCGCGTTTCTCCTCGGTGAACAGAAACCAAGAGCTAAGGCAAAAACAGTGTTCAAAGAAAAACAACATACCTTTATACAACATTTCAAAAATACTTTAAATTTTAAAAAAAAATATACTTACAATTAGATACCCATTTAAAAAATATTTAAAAAATTTGAAAAACGTCGCTAGAAATTTCGAGGATCTCAACCAACCACCCGTCTTCCCCGACACCCACCTATACCCAACATCGACCAATGGTGCTCAGGTTATTTCAGGAAAAGTGAATTCCAGATATATCTTGTAAATCCATCACTAGCACATATTGTCCTCTTTTAGTTTTTCCTTTCGAGCTATCCCTGCAAGCTTTTAAAACATGTCCGCTAGACAGAGGTTTCCACACCCTTATAAAGAATGTTTTGTTCTCCTACTCAACTGATGTGGGATCTCACAAACATATCTGTAAAAGAAAGAAAAAAAAAAACATACGTTTACCAAGTAAAGAAGAAGAATCTATGCGTTCAAAACTCGGGTCGGATCTAAATCTACTCCAGGTGCACGTCCAACCCAACGTTAGTGCATCTAACCCGTGCCCCAAGAAGTAATACAATCATCCAGCCCACGAGCAAGTTTAGCCCAACTCCAGCACACCCAAAATACACGGCCCACTTCATTTCTGCAAGCACGCACTCGCGCATCCGCTCCGTAAACCGACCTAACTTTTAAGTACATTAGGCTCGTTGATATCTTCAAATCAAATATTGTGGGTCCATATAGGTTGAATCAAATGTTGAGGAACAAATATGGGCCAGCTCTAAGAATATCTAGCGACTCCAGTCTATGGCAACCAAGTAAGTGGCTCTACTGTTCGCTTGGTTGGACAAATTTGTATGATGTATGATGATGCGTGCCTTATTGCCCCTACATGTGTCATGATTACGATTGTATCCTACACTATGTTATACCATGTGTGTACTATGTTGTGTTATGCCATGTTTATAAGCTATGCTATAGAGTGACTATGAGATGCTGTAGAATTATGTTATGATGTTGATAATCTATGATGCATAAACCTCTATACACCACGTCATGTAAGTTATGCTACGAAATATTTGACATAAATTATGTATGCATGATTCATAGGCTTGTTACAGTATTAAATGAATGGAGACATGATCTGTATCATAAACTTATGTAATGATTTTAAGTTATGGGGACCTCATACATTATTGTGTGTTATAAGTGGGATACTTCCCCATTATGATTAGTACGGACGCATAAAGAACCCCATAGCAGGAGGTCTCCATAAATATCGTAAGGTACGTGTCCGTACTAATCATAACGGAGAAGTATCATGATGCATATGACACACAAAAAATGCATGAGGTTCTCGTAACATCGAAACTCTATTAATTTATAAAATAATTAGTCTATTAATTATGCATTCATAATTCTGGTTAAATATTTTGTACGTAGCATAGCTTACATGGCGTGATGTATAAAGGTTTATGCATCATAGATTATCAACATCATAACATAATTCTACGACATGTCATAGCCACTCTATAATATAGCGTACAAACATGACATAACACCACATAGCATAAAGTAGCATAACATAGTATAACATAACATGACATAGCATAGTACAATGTAACATAGACACATGTAGGGGCCACGGGGCACATGTCATCATACATCATACATTCATCCAACCAAATCAACAGTAGAGTCACTTGCATGGTTGGCCTAAGCCAGCATTATATTAACTTATATTTGGTGCGAGCTCGAAACTTTCATCTGCAATCCAAATCAACTTAGAAGATCATCAAGGGACTCTCGTGATGGATGTAGCTCTTCTAATATTTTCAGTGAGTGAAGACTATCCCCGCAAACCGTTCGATATAGTTTCGGTTCATTCATGTACCTTTTTGAGTTTTTCTTAGTCATCCTATTCTTAGGATCGCTTGTCTTGATTCATTCATGTACCTCTCATTTACTCGGGTATCATAATTTATTAATCATCATATCGTTATGATCTCTTTCATTTGAATGCACTCTCAGAGTCGCATATAGCCTTCAAATATATTTTCAATTTATTTTATTTTTAAATTAAAATGAATTTTTTTAGAGGTATTTTAATAATTTAGTCGAGAAATAAAGTCGAACTCAGCCGGCTTACAAAAATGCTTCCCGGAAAGATATTTTGGTTCCCACGATTGTGAAGCTCGGATAAGCCATGGAAACTCTTTCTATGGTTACATGCTTCACCTGCAAGCAGACTCCACCGCCAACCAGATTCCTATCTCGCACAGCTACAGCATTATCTCATTTGCAGAAATCAAAGCTCCATATTCCATTATCGCGAACAAGAATTCGGGCAGGTCTGTTCTCCCGTACTTCTTTTCACATTGTTAGCTTGATTTTCCTGTGGAACTGAGAAGAGCGTAATGACGCGATCCTAGAATCGAAGTTAGGAGTCATTTTTCGGAATTTCGGTTTGGTGATTTGATATTCTATCGATTCTGTCCAATTTGAAGCTGTTTGGTTTCTTCAATTGGCAGGTGATTATAATGGGGGAATTTGAAGTTTTTTCCACTGAAATTCAACAGCGTTTTGATAAGAAACTGAACGCTTTGTTCTTAACTCTGTATACGTAGAGATAGGGAATTAACAGGTAGTCTTACTTCTCCCATGTAACTCAGTTTTCATTGATCCCAACTTCAAGGACACTAGGATGTGAAAAGTAGATTATTCGTTTGAGTTGTTGACGCATTCTAACTTCTAAGCTACGTTTCCTGAAGGAATTGGCAATTTACTGTGGAAAGCCAAAGTTACTAAGTCCTATTCTTCAGAAAAGCCAATTTTCATGCGGTTCCTCTCCTTAGAAGAACCAATGGCTGAAGAATGATGTCAAGCTATTATGCGATCCCAGGATGACTCATGATATTTTTTTTTTAAGAATCAGAGAGATACTAGAAAATAGAGCTTAGAGAACTTGAATGATTTTTCCTGCATCTTCCTCCTTCATTCGAGTGGTAAATGCTCACTCACTCTCTCGCTGCGTGATTTCTTCACTTAGAGTTGTGAATCTAGTGAAAGTCGAAGGCTAAGAAGAATGTGTCAAAAGTTGAGATAACGTCTGGATACGATAATCAGACGATTCACCACAGAATAATAGAATAAGGAAAACCACTGTTGAATCAACTTGAGTTATCAAGTCAATAGTTATAATTAAGAACTAGGATAAGTAGGGTGGGTAGCAGCTAATATTTACTAATGCAGTAGGATTAGTGGTAAATTCATGTTAAGCTTAATTCTTAGTGGATTACTTTGTTAATGCCTTTAGTATCTGTTTTTATTTTTATACTCCCTTTAGACTAGAATCTCTCTCATGTATTCAATAGTATTTGATGCAAAGCCTTTGGTTTGAGGGTAACATTAGAACTTTCAATGATAAAGCAAAAAAGCATAGTTTGCTGCTTTGACAATGTTTATTTTGTAGGCTTCTCATGGTGTAAATTGTATCCTTCCTTCAATGGCTATCTGGAATGTTGTTTTTTTTTTTTTTTTGCTTTGAGCCTTTGTTTTTCTTCCTCTATTCGTAATTTGATAATTTAATACCATCTATGAAATTCATGTTTTCTTACTAAAAAAAGTATATCATTCTGTTAAATTTTCTTCAATTAATTTGATTTTGCAAACTATCTAATGGCCTTGAGTGCCTTTTTATACGTAACCTTTAATTCATGTTTTTAAAAAATAATTCAGTAATATTAATATGTTTTCTTGAAATATTCTTTATATATGAAAAGGATATTATTTGACTATTTTTTAATCAAGTAGGATACGATCAACTTCAAAAGTTTTGATATCATTAATATATAGCAATTGTTTTTTTTTATTTGTTCTTACAATAATATATTATAAAATTCATCATTCAGCCCTTTTCAAATTTTTGTAATGAAAAATATATTAATTTTCATGAAGTTATTGATTAAATTGCATGTTATCTATGCATAGATACTCATTAACTATTTATTAATAATTGTTTATATTAGATATAAGTACATAGTAATTTACTCGGCTATTTGAAACTTACAAAGATTTTGTCCTCTTCTTTGGGCTTTGTACTATTGACACAATGCTTGTGATTTTCCTTGCATTTTCATTAGTAGTTTCTTTACTACAAGTAGTTTATTATTGTTATTTTCTGGCAGCCTATTCCAATGCTTTTAACTTTAAGTTAGCTAACTAGCGCATGCTGATCTTCACATAGTGTCTTGTTTTTTCAGTAAGTGAAATTGCAGAAGAGGATGTTCTACAAGCATTCTTTGAGGAACGAAAACTAAATGCAGATTTTATATCAAAAACTTCTGATATGCTTTGGCAGAGGGAGGTCGTGAAATTCGAAGATGTGACTGATGACAGGTTTACTGATACTTCCCAAGAAGTACTGGTACAATATGCTTAGCATTTTTAATGCTTTCAGTTTCAATTTTCAATTTATGATAGCATTTCAATGCTTAGTGTTTATGATGTCAAAGGGAGGTCTGTGCATGATAGCCAGCCATTGGAAACTAAGAAATTAATATGTTTCTACAATATTTAAAGAACATATTTGTATCGTCACTTTGGTACCCTAGTAGCATTTTGTTACTCTAGCAGTATGATAGTAGATATCTTCCAACTTCGTATTAAGTAGATGAAACACAGGCTCAATCATTGTTATGTGAAGAAAATGATAAAAGTTGTGGCTATGCCCATCTAATTTTTCAGGAAGATGAACAAATAACACCAAAATGTTCTATGTAATAACACCATCTAATTTTTCAGGCTATGCCCATCTAATTGTTTGCAAACTTTTTGGCTATAGTAGAAGGAACAGACACTGAATGTGAGTTTCCACGTATGCTGTTGAAATCAGTTTTTTTATCTGCACCACATGTACTGTACATTACACTAAATTGATGAATTTCATGTAATTTTGAAATCTTTGTTAATTTTCTGAATACTAAACTGTATTTTGAATGGTTTTATCAATGCTTAAAATGCACCAAAACGGTGTTCTGCTTTTTTTTTTTTACCTTCTTCAGAGGATAGTGTAACCTCTTGTATTTTCCCCTTAATTCTTGATTTACAACTTGTAGGATGATGAAAACAATGATGGTGGTGGATTTTTGAAATTGTCCGCCACTCAAGCATGGGTCTCAGGTGGTACCTCTGCACCAATCAATAAAAAAGCTGGTGATAAGGTGTGCCTACTCCAGCTCTTATGTTATGAGTTATAGAATTCATTTTATATGTGGTTTCCATGAATCAGTTTAATTGCTCTGGATCAGTTGCCAGATAAGATCAGTCAATCACTTTCCTTAACTCTCTATTTTCTTTAACAGATACTGCCAGATGACCGTGAAAGAAGGAAGAAACTAAATTTTCTCAAATATGAAGCTGTATGATACTTGAACTCAGTATGTTCATTGGTTGTTTATGTAAGGTGGTAATACTTTTATGTCATCTAAGATCATCTTGATATAAAATTAATGTCTGCCCTTCAATCACTAAACTTGTCCAAAATCAAAATTTCCCATATTTTTCAAAGTTCGTACATAATATAAATGGGTCACCAAAAGAGTTGGGGCTGGATTGAATTGGGGCCTACAGAGGTAAGAGCCTCCCAAGGAATTGTTTTCATTTTTGAAACATAGGCGGTTGAATGGACCAAGTCTAGCATAAAAACATTTGGCCCAAACAACCCTTAAACCTATAGTTCGATTAGTTGGGCTGTACTGGCTAATTGGGCCATAAGCAGACCTTATAGTTTTATATTTTTAATAACTGATTTTAGGAAAAAATTATGAAATTATTATATGTTTACCTACAAGCTTAAATAAATTATTTTTTTAATGGAAATCAGTGATATATTAGTCATTAATAAATTCTTCGTAGATAATATTCATAATGCATTTTAACCTACTTTTTTTTTAAAGTTTCTATAGTAATTTGTTGAGCATGTAAACTTTCTGTGCTTGCACACTTATTGGTTTACAGATGCTTCCATTTTGTTTTCTTTTCAATTCGCATGGGCAGATGAAGTTTTGCTCCTTGCACTACTGTGACTTTGGCGTTGATTGTATGAGATGCTTTGAGTATAAAATTGATTTGATAAAGTGCTCCCTTATGTAATCTAGTTGCATTTAAAGCTTTTCTCCTTTTCCTTTTTCTTTTGTGGTAATTTACTTTTTGGCTACATCATGAAACTACAGAATAATTGGCTAAAAGTGATGGAAGATGAACCTTTGACCATTAAAGAATTTGGAAGTTGATCACTAATTCCCTTTTTAACACAGCTCAAGAGGGAACTGATGCTTTTGTCCGTTGGCATTGGAACTGCATGCAGTGGGTATTGCCTGATAGTGTTTTCGTTCCAGGTATATTCCAATTGAAGAAGAAAGGGCATTATCTTGTGTGCTACAGTAAATTTTTTGGTTGATTTACAGTTATTTTAGTACAAAGTAGAAGGAAGGATGCCATTATAGATTGGAGTCATTATATTATAATTTAGTTGCTATGTTACTTAGACTCCAGTATCTATTTCATTACATTTATTGGCCTGGATCATCTCATTTTCTTCAAGTGACACCTCACTTTTTCTTAACATGACTCATGAGTTGAGAGGAGCTTGCTTGCTGATGAAGGAATTTATTTGTTTTCCTGTTCAGGCTGCTATTAGTTATGCAGTAGGAGCCCTTTCGAGGTTAGTTGATATGAGTTTAATGTTGCTGTTATTTTGTAACTTCATTTTGGCATGCTGTGGTTCACTACCAAGAGTTAAGTTTTCATTCCAAGATTTGAAGTTTTCAAACAAGATCTTGGTCAGGATATAAGAATAAATATTAATTAACAAGACTCTTCCAAAACAATTTCTTGGAGAAGTTTGTAAGATTCAAAGTGACCTCTAGTCAAATCAGTTTTTGCCTCCTACGGAGGAAATTAAAAAAAAATATATCCGTTCTCAAATTGTGATTAGATTTCTATTGCACATTTATCAGAGAAACCTTGTTATTTTGTTGTAATTGTGCAATAACATCTGGGATTATCTCTAATGCAGCTGCTTATACCTCCAGCTATTATATCGACATGCTGACAAACTATCTAAAGACACGGTTCCCGATATCTTCACGCAGAAAAAGACGAAAAAGTATGGATAAATGCCATAGTCGGTCTATTTGTTTATTGAGTATAACTTGTTTGTCACAATCAACATTCATTCTTTGTGCCAGAATTGGAATAAGAAGTGAAGATATCCAGAACGTGTTTGAAAAATCAGTGAGGGGAAGTAGCATTGCTCTGTCATCTCCTAGGCTTTTGATTCCTGCTGCAATATATGCAATATGGATCCTCTCTCATAAATATCTTGCCAACGACTTCTTCGACTTCCAGGTAACAAATGACTATATGTGTGGACCATTTCATCGTTTTAACCAATTGAACTAGTTTCGAGTTGAAAAGTCTATTTATTTTAAATGCATGTAGCCCCGAAAATAACTCTCTTATGTTGTCATGTGATTCTCTTCCTGTGTTTAGCTCACGCCAGCCATGGTTGGGATGTTTGTCTATAAAGCAGCTGCACTTGTTCAAGTTTACAGGGACAATGAAAACCTGAAATTGGACTTTCCAGAAAATGATGGGGGCTCGGCATAACTGCGCCACGCTTTTCGACATCAACCAGCGACAAATGACCTGTCCATTTTATGTTTGAAGCAACTGCTGGTTGCAGGTCAGCGTTTTAACTCCCTTTCCTACACCATAACTGATATGGAGAATGATATGCAGACGTTCAGTAATTCAATCAAACACCATTGGGATTAAGTACTATGCCATTTCATGTTTTAGTGCACAAATGTTTGGCTGCTTAGTGAAGAGAAGAATTAAAGTGCCCTGTTTCTGCCATTACTGAACCCCAGTTGTTGGTCGAGTCGGTTTTAGCTAGGCCAGGGATTGATATGTTATTTATGAGTTATATGATTGAACTTTTTCTAAGATTTATTTTGGCAATCATCAGATTACAGCAATGACCATTGTTTTTTTTTTTTTTTTTTTTTTTTTTTTTTTTTTTTTTTTTTTTTTTT